GCCGAGCTATTCCTCCGATTGGCTCTTTTGCCTTACGTGGAACAGCCAAAGAATTTACGTCCAGGTCATTTGTAACACTGACGCCTAATGACGCAGGTATTGCCTATGTCATCTCAAGATTGAGCCGCTTTGTCGAATAAAAACAAAGAGAGTTACCTTGAACAGCAGTCCGTTTGTGTCCTGGAAAAATATAAGCCACTTGACTCCGGACAGTTTCCTTCCAAGAAGATTTTTTCAAGTCACGCACTATGAGACAGACCTTTACTTACCATCTGGAAAGAATGCCGCTTGAGCAAAGAACAGCATGTACGTCTCCGTGGCCGTGCGGCTTCGTCTACAGAAAAAAAAACAAAGCTTTAGCACGTTTTCGAAGAAAAGAAGGAGCTAGAGTCGTGGCGTACTTGGATAGAATACTTGTCAGAAGGATTCCGAGCTAATCTAGCAAAATTATCGGCCAAGCACGCGACTTTCTCCTGCAAAAGGAAGCATGAGTTTGACGACGCTACGTCTCTCGACGTGCTTCTACCTGTTTCAGAAGAGTTACTTGGCTTGGATTCATTCCAAAGAAATTGTTTTCCTTGAGAAGCTTTTCAGTCATTGCGTGAGTGTCGTCGGATGTCATAATTACAAAGGGAATTGGACCTGAAGGAAAAGCAACAGCTCAAATGGTCCCGAAAGTTAGGAAATCACGTACGTGTAGCGGAGGAAAATTCCTGTAGCGCCAAAATGTTCTTGATGTAGAGTTCCAAAAAGCAAGTTCCTGTAGTTGTTTCGGAAGGTAATGCTACCTGCAGGGAAAATACAATCAGAAATCCAACTTCTTTTTTATTTTCTTGCATTTTTCCTTTGTATTTTTTATTTTTCCACTGTACCTTGATTCCAGTATAGCCTAGACGCTCACCAAGTCCACCGGCAACTAACACGAACGCTGCGTTAGACGCTGCCTTAACACCGGCCTCTTCGAAACGAACAAAGCGTTCGTCTCCATAGTAAAGACGCTCGCCAGAAGGAACCTTATGACAACATAAGAATTCTCCATCAACACCGAGACGAGAGAAAGGAAATTAAAGGAAAACTTTCTTACCGATGGCACATAGCCATCGAAAGGATTTCTACCGGCTTTAGAATCCGCCAGTAGCTTTCGAGCATTGTCAATGTATGCCACTAATCCGCCTGGATAGTTCGCGTCTAGCTTCTTCACCTACAATTCAGTAGAAAGATAAATCAAACCACGTCAATTCAATCATCCAATGTGGTACCTGATTGAAAAATCTCGCTTTGTCATCGTCGCCGATTCCCGGCTCTGGCCAACCCTCGAAAAGATGCTCCTGGCCGTGATCTAGTAGAGTCTGTGCTAGCGTTTCCTGGAGATCCACCGAAATTAAGCTTGAATCTAGCTACCTGAGCTCCTCCTTACCATGGCAGCGTCGCAATCTCGAGGAAGAACCCATTGTGCTTGCAACACCATCTGGAAACGATGAGTTGCCCTAGGAAAATACTTGAAAAATAGTCATCTGGAAAACCTTTACAAATAAATAGTAAGTATGAAAAAAGGACGTTGCTTGAGAGATTCGAACTCTCGCGGGAAAATCCCATGTACTTAGCAGGCACACGCCTTAACCACTCGGCCAAAGCAACTTAACTGTTAATTAGTGCCACGTGTCAAAGATTTAGCTAGAGCCCTAAACCCTTTATATTTTTCCCGCGCATTCTTCTTTGCGCCGAGCTATGGCGTCTCGAGGGCGCAGGCCCGGAATGTGGCATGGGGCGCGGGGACGGGGCCCCGAGAGCTCTCGCAGGCCCGGAATGTGGCATGGGGCGCGGGGACGGGGCCCCGAGAGCTCTCGCGATGGCGAAAGGGGCAGCAGAGGTAAGGGCAGAGGCGGTCGGGGCGGTCGCAGATCTAGGGTTTTTCGAGGAAATGACGATGATCTGGAGGAGAAGTTTGGGTTTGGATTGTTCACGGAAGGAGATCCAAAGCTTGGATGGCTTCTCAACATGTCGCCGGTAATGTAGCGTTTTGCTTAGTTGGCTCATCTGAATTTTGGGTTTTTCTTCTTCAGTCGTCATTCCAGGACGAGGAATGTGGCAATCAGACTTTCAGCTGTGTAAATCTGTGCTTTCTGTGCCAGGTCAGGATTCTTCCCTGTTTGTTTCTTTTTCTTTCTCGCCTTGGATTAGTTTTCGCTGCAATTTATTCGTATGCAGGATGGGTCGGGTTTTAAAACCCGTGTGAAGTTTGCTCCATATTTCTACATAGGAGCGAAGGTAAGCTCATATATGTCCTTTAATACTTCGCTTACAGCTCGTTTTGTTTTGCCAGATTGGTATGGAACTTGAACTAGAGTCGTATATTCGGAGGCGTTTTGAGGGACTCATCTCAAACACGAAAATAGTCGAAAAGGAAGATCTTGACCTGGTAAAAGTTTCAACTTGCTAAGGAAATATTTCACATATGTTGCACGTTCGCTACAGAAAAATCACCTTTCTGGACTGCGCAAGCGATTTATTAAAATCAGCTTCAACACAGTCCAAGATCTCATGCAAGTAAAAAGCGACCTGATGCCAATCGTGGCTCGCAATCAAGCGAAGCTGGAGGCGGTCGAAGCTTATGAATCTGTACTGTACGGGCTAAGGTATGCTGCCTGATATTTTTTGAATTGCTGCGGGAGAATTCTTTGCTATTTAACGTGGGATGCTTTGCAGCACAGAGAAGCAAAACAAATCGAAAGTTTATGACTACAATGAATGCATTGTAGATATACGCGAGTTTGATGTTCCGTATCATGTCCGCTTCGCAATAGACAATGGTAAAGTTTATTATCTCGTTTCTTTATTGAAACCTGCCCAGATGTCAGATGTGGAGAATGGTACGTCGTAACCGTAGACGCAGCAAGGACAAAGTTGGAAAAACGGCCCGATCTCCTTCAGCGAGCTGAGGCTCGCGTATGTGCTTTTGATATTGAAGCAACCAAACTTCCGTTGAAGTTTCCAGATGCATCTTATGATAGTGTGATGATGATATCGTATATGGTCGATAGCCAGGGCTATCTGATTATCAACAGAGAGGTAACTTGCTAAGTTGCTCATGATGCCGTCTTCTGAACATTTTTTGGCAGTGTGTAAGTGAAGACATAGACGACATTGAATATACTCCTAAGCCAGAGTTTGAAGGACATTTTAAGGTTCGAAATGCAGCCTCGGAGGTATGTATTTTGATTATTAGACGTGCACTTGACTCACAACTTCTTTCTGTTGCAGAAAGAACTTCTAGAGTGGTGGTTCGACCATATGCGTGAAATTAAACCGAACATCTTTGTTACCTACAACGGAGACTTCTTTGACTGGCCTTTTATTGAAGAGCGGGCCAAACATCATGGATTAAGCATGCGCGACGTATGTTTGCAAAAAAAATTTAAATTTCCTGACATGTTTTCTTGCAGAAACTCGGCTTTTCCTGTGATTCAGCGCAGGGAGAGTGTTTAAGTAAATTCGCTTGTCACTTAGATTGCTTCGCTTGGGTTAAACGTGACAGCTACCTTCCACAGGGCAGCCAAGGTCTTAAGGTCTTCTAAATTTCTTTATAACTATCAATTTCTTATGTTCTCTGCTTTCAGGCTGTGACGAAGGCGAAGCTTGGATATGATCCTCTGGAAGTCAATCCAGAAGACATGGTTCGTTTCGCTAGCGAACAACCTCAGGTGCGTACATTGTACTTGTGCAAAAGAAACGATCTGATCTCTGTTGCAGAAAATGGCAGCTTATTCCGTCTCAGACGCCGTCGCGACGTATTATCTTTACATGACATACGTTAATCCGTTTATCTTCTCTCTTGCCACTATCATACCTATGTCTCCGGACGAAGTGTTACGAAAGGGTAGTGGAACTTTGTGTGAAATGCTTCTTATGGTTCAGGTATGAGCTTTGAGTACAGCGTCAAATATTTAGTTTACACTTTTTTCCTCAGGCATTTAAAGGAAACATTATCTGCCCGAACAAACACAAGTCAGAACCGGAACGGTTTTACAGTGGTAGACTTCTGGATAGCGAGACATACATTGGAGGCCATGTCGAATGCCTTGAGAGTGGTGTTTTTCGTTCGGATCTTCCTACTAGATTTCGACTCGTGCCCGAGGCATACCAAGTCAGTAGTTTTACTTTCTTTGTCGTGAACATGTTGCTAATCTTTGTGGTACAGAAGCTGGTAGACAACCTGGATCGCGACCTTTTGTATGCCATAGAGAAAGAAGGGAAGATGAATGCTCAGGAAGTGACCAACTATGACGAGGTTAAGAAAGAAATAAAGTCAATGGTGGGTATTCCTTTCTTTGGCAGTTTATATTGTCTGCATTTTTGCAGCTTGAAAATCTACGGGATGTACCCAACAGGGAAGAGCAGCCTGTAATATATCACTTGGACGTGGCGGCCATGTATCCTAATATTATACTGACTAATCGCCTTCAGGTCAGTATTAAATTTCATCTCTGTTCTCAGTGTTCTCAGTGTCCCGTGTTGTTTATCCACAGCCGCCTTCAATTGTAACTGATGAAACATGCGCGGCCTGCGATTTTAATCGAGCCGAAAAAACGTGTTTGCGTCCTATGCAATGGGTTTGGAGAGGCGAATCCTTTATGACCAAGAGAAGGTAGTTTGTCTCTTCAATCTTTGATTAACGTCTAACACTTCTTCTCAAGTGAATACTATCATCTGAAAAACCAAATTGAGTCCGAAATGTTTACAGCAGGAGAAGGGAAGCCTTCACAGTATTTTCGTGATCTGTCAAAAGACGAGCAGCAATCTAAGCTGCGGGACAGATTGAAGAAGTACTGTCAAAAGGTATGCATTCACCTCTATATGCCTTGGGTCACATGTGCTTTGCCCAGGTTTATAAGCGAGTACTTGATAAACCGACAACAGAACAGCGGGTAGCGGGAGTGTGCATGCGCGAAAATTCCTTTTATGTGGATACAGTTCGGAGGTAGAAGATATTGTCTTTGGATTTTTCTCAATTTAATTTGTTTGTTTGTTTTTTTGTTTTTTTTTTTTTCCTTTTGGTAAGTTTTCGAGACCGAAGATACGAGTACAAAACCCTTAATAAGGTGTGGAAGGGAAAATTGACGGAGGCGAAGTCAAGCGGGAATTCTATCAAAATTCAAGAAGCTCAAGTTGCGTTAACTTGTTGTCTTCTACACGTACTAATCTTTTTGAACTTCAGGATATGGTGGTTTTATATGATTCACTGCAACTTGCACACAAGTGTATTCTTAACTCATTTTACGGCTACGTCATGAGAAAGTAAGCTTTATGCATTCATCTATTAACGTGGTTGATTCTGCTTGTTTGTGTATCCAGAGGAGCCCGGTGGTATTCTATGGAAATGGCAGGAATTGTGACATATACAGGAGCAAAAATCATCCAAAATGCACGGATACTTGTCGAACAAATCGGAAAACCGTTGGAGCTGGATACAGACGGGATCTGGTGTGCTTTACCAGCATCTTTTCCTGAAAACTTTGTTTTTCGTACAAAGTGAGTATCCAAATCTCTATGCCGCTTAACAGTTCTCCTATCAGAGATAAAAAACTTCCGATTTCGTACCCGTGTGTGATGCTTAACGTGGATGTCGCGTTAAACAACACCAACCATCAATACCAGGTATCCGCATGTGTTCTCACGACTCCCTTAACTTTGAAATGTAGACACTGGCAGACGCTACGGAACGTACTTACCGAACAAGTAGCGAATGCTCAATTGAATTTGAGGTTGATGGACCGTATAAGGTAAATCATGTTTAAGTTATGCAAGCTGAACTTTACTTCTTCTTTAGGCAATGATACTCCCGGCCTCTAAAGAAGAGGGAGTGCTTATTAAAAAGCGCTATGCGGTCTTCAATGATGACGGAACACTTGCCGAGCTAAAAGGCTTTGAAGTAAAGCGGCGAGGTGAACTTAAACTTATAAAGGTTTTTCAGGTACGCTGTAGCTTATGTTCATGCGTATATTTCAGTTGTGCTTTTCACAGGCAGAAGTTTTCGAGAAATTTCTTCAAGGTAGTACGCTCGAAGAATGTTATGACGCTGTAGCGGCCGTTGCTGACAGGTGGCTGGATATGTTAGAGGTTGTTTCATTTTTATACTTGAACTGATCTAAGTAACTTAACCCTTTTCTCTAAATAATGATAGAATCAAGGAGCAGATGTGGCTGATAGTGAGCTTCTTGACTACATATCGGAATCAAGTACAATGAGCAAGTCCCTCGCCGATTATGGCGATAAAAAATCCTGTGCTACCACCACGGCTAAGCGGCTAGCTGATTTTCTTGGTGAAGCTATGGTGAAGGATAAGGGGTTGAGCTGTCGTTATATTGTTGCCCGGGATCCTCAGGTAAAGAAGTTCGATTCTGCTCCTCGGCGACTTAAATTTGATAATTTCAGGGCTCACCTGTTAGCGAACGTGCAGTACCCGTTGCTATATTTGAGACTGAAGCTGGTATAACTGTGTCTAAGTTTATTTGAGTATTAACACAACGTTTTTACAGAGGTTATGAGAGCATACTTGAGAAAATGGTGCAAGGTGTCCGCTGATGCAGATTTTCGCTCTATAGTCGATTGGTCATACTACAGACAACGGTTAGCGTCCACTATACAAAAGATTATCACAATTCCTGCTGCGATGCAGAAGGTAAATAATCACTTCTCACAGCAACTTAGTCTAAAAATGTAAATGCAGGTAGCCAATCCTGTTCCTAGAGTTAGTCATCCAGACTGGTTGTGGAAGAGAGTTCGTGAAAAGGATGACAAATATCGGCAAAAAAGCATATTTGATGCTTTTAAGCCCATAACAAACGCAGATGTTGACAATGAGGCTTTGGTTGGTGACTTGGAGGATATATGTGGTGGCAAGGAAACTTGCTCTTCGAAAGGGCTCAATGCTGAAGTTGAAACTGCTGCAACAGCGAATACAGAACCTCTCTGCACCTCTGATGGAGATGATTATGGAGCATGGCTCGATAAACGAAAAAGAAAGTGGAAAGATGTTCGTGAGAAACGAAAGCGTCTCAGGTATTTTTTTTCTTTTTACTTTACATGGTTCTTAATCGATGAGAAATAATATATATGCTGCTACATTAGACAAGGTCCTGAACCTCGACACACAGACAACAGATTGAACAGGTCAAAAAAGGGAAATAGTGTAAATACATTTTTTCAGAATCGAGAGGCTTCATTAACACGGTCACATTGGGAGGTACTAAATTTGAAATTTAACTCTCTGGACCACGCATTTTGGATGCGCATTTCAGGTTTTGCAGTTTGAGGCCACTGAAAAGCCTGGAAATTTCATTGCTTGGGTAGTGGCTGGTAGTTCCATGTACAAGGTCCCCGTAAAGGTGTCACGAATTTTTTACCTGAATACGCGTGCTATAGTTTCCGAAGATTATCCTGGAAAGCGTGTCAGCCGAGTGCTACCTCACGGGAAAGCCTGTTTTAATCTTATTGAGGTCTGTTATAGCACGATAATTTTTTTTTCCTTTGATGTGGCTAATCATCTGAATCCTTTTTTGAGCACAGGTCATTTTGGACGAAGAGCAGTACAAGCAGGCTAAAAAGGATGTTGTAGCTCATCTGTCGGATCCAGAAGTTGAGGTACAAGCTCAATGTTTGCTAAGCAGTTCGTGAGGTTTTGAGATGTGAACAGGGAGTTTACGAGACTAGATTGCCTCTCGTACTTCAAGCCATTCTTCAACTCGGCTGTGTTTGCTCTGTTGACGTTAAAGCGCAAAAGCGGAGCTTAAACGAAGGGTGGTCGCTAGAAGAATTGCACATGAAGACCACTACTGAGTGCTCTTATCTGGCAGATAACGTCTCCTTTATCTACTTATATCACAGGTGCACACATTGCTATTGATGAACTTGTTAAACTGACATATCGTTTTTTTCAGCGCATTTGAGCCCCGTGGCTGTTATGCCTTGTATGCTCCTTTGGCCGCAAAAGTTCTCGTTATCATTGTCAATCCGTCAGTCAACAAGGAGGTGTCAACAAACTGGTTAGAAAGGCAGTTTCGCGACTCACTTCGGACACAAGAGTCATCGGTCATGGAAGAATTCAACATGGATACATCAGACGTTAACTTCGAGGTATGTTTTTGAGGATCAGCACTATTTTGACAAGCTTTCAATCTGCAGATAGAATATTTGGCTACATATGCTGAAGCTGGAAGGCGTTTGCAAAGGACTTTGCATGATTATTTGTACGTTGGGATACCGTTATTCGTCCTTTAAAAAAACACCTGCAGGGACCAGTTTCGGAGGCCTGCCGTGGCGATTGTAGAATGTCCGTCCATGGAAAACATTGTGGCTCATGTTCCGGCTATTTTGGAGGTTCCTCGAGTTCAAGTTCCTTGGAATTCACGTCACAGTGACTATAAGGTGGGCATTATGTTTTTTTCTGAAGCACTTCTAAATATACGTGAGTCGCTTGTGGACAGCTTCTTGGATGGCAACCAGTAGCTGCAAAATTAGCAATGCAGCGTTGTGCTGCCTCACCATCCTGGCTTTCGGAAAGAATTGCACTTTGTCGATACGCTCATGTGAGTTTACGTCTTTATATTTCGTGTATCGTGTACAAACATGAATTCAGGTTCCGCTGGGCAATTTGGACTCAGACTGGATTCTTTTCACTGCGGATGCATTTTACGCACGAGTGCTGAAGGACAATCAGCATGTATTTCTCTTATCATATCCGTTTTTGTTCCTGAGTTAATGTTTCTGCAGGTTTTGTGGATATCTGATGATGGCTTACCGGATCTTGGAGGTGTTCCACAAGACGAACCAAGCTTTACAGATGTGGTGCGAGAATAGTCTATTGGCTTGTTGGTGTTGACGCGATTGTTTAACAGGTTCAGCAACCGTCTTTGTGCTATCCTGGTGCTTACAGAAGTGTTACTATTGAGCTCAAGGTACACTCCGTCTTCCAATTTCATCTCGGACAACATGTTCTCTTCCTTGATGTAGATAAATCATCTGGCAGTCAATGCTCTTTTAAAGAGCACTCAAGTAAATGAGCTGGAAGGAGGAGCGTTGCTAGGCTTTGAGCTTGATGCAACTGGTTCCAATCTTCGTCAAGTGGGAGGTTCCTGGGATGAAACCAATTCTTGTGCGCCTGCTTTCGGTCTTCTAAAACAGATGGTATCTGGGTGGTTAGTCGATGCCATGTCCTCTGCAAACGTTTTCGCCGATGTTCTTTTGCAGAACTTGTACAGATGGCTTTGCAGGTGCTTCGGCCGTTGACAGTTCTTATGCTTATTCTAACTTTATGCTGCAGTCCACTGTCGAAGCTTCATGATCCATCATTGCACCGGCTTTTACATAAGGTGAATTGTTTCCTTCGGAACTGCAAAATCTAGATTCTAACTATAATCAATGCAGGTCATGCAGAAGGTGTATGCACTTTTGCTGGCTGAACTTCGAAAGCTTGGAGCTACCATTGTGTATGGGAGTTTTTCGCGAATCATAATCGGGACAGGAAAACACAACGTTGAGGCTGCCAAAAACTACTGTGATCACCTTTTAAAAACACTGCAAACCAGGTTAGTGTCCAGTCGCGGCGATTCCGTTTCTTCAATCTTCTGTTCGTAGAGAAATGTTCGAGTGGATTGAGCTTGAGCCTCAACGTTATTGGCATTCCATTTTATTCATGGACCAGGTAAATCATGATTGGTTTCTTGCTTGTTGCATGTAACATCTGCTGTGCAGTACAACTATGGCGCTATCCAAGCCAAAGTTTCATCTGAAGACAATTCTGAGGAATTTGAAATTGTTTCATCCTGGAATATAGCCGAGTATTTGCCGAAGGCTATTCAGGAGTTTTTCATCGTCGTGGTGTCGGAGTTTATCTATCTCCCATGGAAACACGCGCAAGAAACTATCGCAGCGAGATCATTTTCCTTCTCATCAACCCCATCTGTGACTGTTGCCGCCGCTGCTGACGCTGACGCCCTGGAAACATCATTTTTGAAAGAACAGGTTCGTCTGGCATTTCGATGCGACCTTCATTATCTGAAATTTGTGCAGATTGAGTCATATTTTACAGACAAGCTGTTGAGAATCGTAAGAGATATTCAACGGCACTTCACGGCTTCCAGAGACGTGGACGACTTCAAGTTCCCGAATCTAGCTGGCTCTCATTTAGCTCTGGGTGACGCAGCTCTCGAGTTCATCAAGTATATTTATGCTGCAATGTCCCTTGATCACCGCGTGCAGCATTCTGTTCAGGTTTGTATGTTCTTTAGTGCTTTTTCTTTATAGAGCTCACGTTCTTTTTCCTTTGAAGGTTATGAGAAAGAACTTGCTTAGGCTGGTTCATGTGAGGGAGTTTGCACCCGAGGCTCAATTCCACGACCCTTGTCTATCGTTTACCCTTCCGAACGTCATTTGCAGGTACTTTCCCTTGGTGAGCTTTCTGATTAAAACTTTTGTATTCAGCTACTGCAATGACTGCCGAGACCTCGACTTGTGTCGGGATGCTGCCTTGCTTCAAAAGGACTGGCACTGTACAGTTCCTCAATGTGGACAAATGTACAACGTCCAATGGATTGAGAATGCATTACTCCAGATCGTTCGGCAGAGAGAGCGTCTTTACCATCTGCAGGACCTCAAGTGCGTGAAGTGCCGCCAGGTAGAATTCCCTATGACAAATACTGGCCTCGTCTCTAATCAAAATCACATCTTTATGCACAGATAAAAGCCGCACATATCACCGAGCAATGCTCCTGCGGTGGCAGCTTCGAGTGCGTAGAAAAGTCGGCCGAGTTCATGTCCAAAAGCCACGTATTCTTGAACATTGCGACTTACTATGGATTCGACTTGCTGAAGGAGTGCATTGCGTGGATACTACTATCCTGAAAGCTCAACCAGGTATTTCCAAGGTTGCTCATTGCACAATAGTGTTTGTTAATATCAGGATTCGAACCAGGGATCCCTGGTTTTGCGAGGGCTTTAGCTCCATGGAAGGCGTCGTCCAGGCGGAGACGACGGCACCCAGCCCAGCTCCAGCCCCGGCTCCAGTACCATTTCCCAAGCTCCAGCTTCGCAACCCCTTCGTTTTCAAAATCGCCCAGATCACTACAGGCGCTGGCGTGGGATGTGGCGTCGGGATTGGCGTTGGCAGGCCGATTCAACTAGGTAACACTTTTGACAAACTTGGAATGGAGTCTCATCTTCTAGATGGTCCAAGAGTTCTTCTTGAGTGCTGCATTCTCATTTATGCGTCGGAGTGAATCGTGTTGACTGTTAAGTGTCATATATTTGCAGTTGAGGGGCCGCGTTGGGCTGACACACTTGTGAATTGCTACTGCCACATCAGGGGCGCTCTCCAGATTTGGGATACCAGTCCAGGACTTGAACCGGCTTCTCGGTAAATCTGGACGTTACTTCAATCAGTTCGTATGACTCTGTTCTTCCTAGGCTTCTCTCGCTAAAAACTCTCTCTTTTTCAACAGAAAGCGAAGCTGGGAATCAAGACTCTCGACGCTGGTATCGGCTGTGGGGTTGGAATCGGGCATGGTTTCATGTTGGTCGGTATGTTTGTGCCACACAATGTATCCAAATTTTCCTGCGTTCTTTTTCCTTCTAGGTGTGGGCTTGAAACAAGGAGTGACGGAACAATTGCTGCAATTTGCTCAGGTTTGTTGCTCAGTTTACGAAACATCAAAACTGAAAGTTTCGGTGTAGGATAGCGGGGCGGCACTCGCTAGTCGCTTCGGTCCACACTTGGGACCACTGGCTGTCGTGGATAGCAAGATGTTACTTCCTGGATCCAACTTGATAAGTCCAAATCCCGCAGGACCTTCGTCTCCCAGTTCTCCACCCGCAGCTCGAGCGAACGTTTTAGCGAGCTACATACCGGCCGCGTCAACGCCTCCCCATGCTCCAATCCAAATGCCAGGCTCGACTTCGTCGCAAACACAAACCAGCGAGGTTGGAACTTGTTATAATATTTGCTCACGCTCTTGAATCTAAAGCCACTCGTCCCGCAGGTCGAGAGGTTGAGACTGGAGAAAGAGATCCTTCAAACTGTAAGGAGCTTTCTTCTATCCTTTACGTTTCTTCTAACCAAAAATACTTGGGCAGCTTTTGCGACAGCAAAGACAGATCGAGGACTTGAACGAGGAGTTGAAAGCATTGCGAGAAGGGAAAGAAGTGACACCTGCACCACCACGGCCACAGTCCACTGCCCCGAGATTGGCAAGCAGCGACCACTGGGATCGGTGCTTCGAGTGCCGGAGAAGAGCTCGAAGAAGATCATAGCCTTGAGGCTTAGAACGAGAGGGAAAGAAAAAAGTTTTGTTTGAAGCATTCTTTGATCCTTACGACCACCCAATGTCAACAGTGACAAGGTGGTGATCTGAGGTACCTCTAGAGGACACCACTTTGTATGAGCCCGGGATAAATCTGTACTGAAGATGTGGTGACGCGAGTATATAGTCGATCCGCGTGTTGTGCTTGCAAGTCCCTTGAATCTCTGTGTGTTAAAACTCACGAGCAGCGTTACAAAGTAAGAAGAGTGCGAAGGGTTCCCACCTTGGCCGCGAACCAGTGCTGGAATTTCCGGAGAGGCCACCGCGCAAGAATCCATGTAACCTTTCTCGACCAGCAATCTCTCCATAACATCAGACCTGGGAGCCATTTTCCTGTTCTCCGCTCGCAGCTGGAAACACAGCGAGAAAGCAAGGATCATGGAGTCTTCACGTAACCTGGCAAGCTTGGAAGAAAGAGCTTGCCTTGGCTATCTCGGCCCAGCGCTCCTGGGAGTAGTCTGGCCGGTTGAGAGAGTTAAGGTCGCCGGCTAGAAAATGCGGCACCTTTCTCGTGTCCTCCAGTATGGCCGAGACCTGTTTGATCCTCCAGTCCTCGTCCAGATGGTCGAGGTGAGTGCAGCAGTAGCAAACCTCTCCAAACGATGGCACGTCCACCACCACTTTGAGCAAGTTCCTGTGAGAAAACAATCGAGAGTTTCAGAGCTATTCACTCAAGATCTCCAGAGTGGTGCTTGCCTGTAGTCCGAAGAGTTGTATATCCTCTTGACGCTCGTACTCTTGATGGGCCACCGAGAAAGAATCGCGTTTCCAAACTCCGGCGCCCAGCTCTCCGCGTAAGCGTAGTGCATGCCCAGTGCTTCGGCCAGGTCCGTCAGCGGCGACATGCCTTTCTCCTCCTCGGCCCGGACTTCCTGGAGCGCTATCAAGTCCGCCTTGGAGTCTCTCAGCACTTCAAACACCGAGGCCTTGTGGAAGCTCTTCGCGAAGAGCGGGGTGCCCAGCTCGATGCAGGGGCTCGAGTGGAAGCTGTAAAACGGGTTTGGGCTGAAGGCCGGATTCACCTTCGAGCGGTGGTGGTGCGCGAAAACGGTTGCAATCGCCTCGGCTTCGACTTGGTCTGCTGGCGGACTGATCGGTTCCAGCAAGAGCGCACCAAGCGGCGGCGTTGGGCAAGATCCAAATGTGGGATTGTAGCAATCCATGCTGGAGTATCCTTCCAACGTTGCATGATTCAAAAGAGTGCACGAAACGTTGACTGATGAGAGATCTAGATCTTCTGCATGAAAGTATAAGGTTTGAGACTTGTTACCTGGAACAGCAGAAGCTAACGAGAACATTGCGACGTTCATCGTTGCAAGCCTGACAGTTATCGAGGAATCCCCGGCGCCACTGCTACTGTTTCTCGAGAACACCCGCATGCTCGCGGACTTCGTGGATTCCACAACACGGAATATGAATCTCGGCTGCGGCACCTGCTGGTTCTCACACCTACATTCCGCGCAGACCTGGCTGTGAACTCTCTGGAACTTGGTTGCAATCTTCTTCGCCAGTGATCTCATGCAAAAACGGAGTTGCACAATCTTGTCAGTGAAGTGTCTCCAACTCTTGGCCTGCTGCTGGGCTGCCTCGTCGTGCTCATCCTGCAAGCAATCTCTCTGCAGGACATCTGAAAGCTTTTCTTTGTTTGCTCCTTGCTCTGTTCCCGGTGTTGCTGCCATGCTAGAAAGACACTCACATCTGGAAGAGAATATACATAAAATCTGGACGTACAACGTAGCTATGACTCGTTTGCTTTTTATCTTTTGCAACTTTTACGGTCACGGGATCTGAGCCTTTTTGAACCGTTTTCCCTCCCGCACCGTGTTCAAATTTCCTCTGCCAGATCATGCGAAAGTTGGTGGGAGAGTCTCATGACATAATCAAAGCGGAATGAATCTACTGCTAGAATTAGACCTGAAGACCTTGCCACCATTACGACCGGGTCCAGACACAATACCCAATTCTAGAAGATCGCAGCCACCTCCACTCACAAATCCCTTATAAAAAGTCCCGAAGCTGGATGAATCCCTTTGCGAAGATTGTCTTTTAGAATGGCTCGTCTTAGCACCGCCCTTGCTTTCGCTCTAGTTGCCACCATTTCATCCTCGCTTCTTGTGCAGGCAGCGGATGAAGATATGCTGCAGGACTTTTGTGTTGCGGACAATGCCTCCAAGATCAAGGTGAACGGCGTCATCTGCAAGGCGGCTGAGGATGTCAAAGCTGAGGACTTCAAGTCGAGCCTCCTGGCGACTCCCGGGAACACCGACAACAAGCTCGGCTCCAACGTCACGCTGGCGAGCGTCTCCAATTTCCCCGGTCTCAACACCTTTGGCGTCGCTCTTGCCCGCATCGACTACGCTCCCGGCGGCACCAATCCCCCCCACGTCCATCCCCGAGGAACCGAGCTGCTCTTCCTCCTGCACGGGACCCTCTACGTCGGGTTCGTCACCACCTTGCCGGACAACAAACTCTTCGCCCAAAAGCTCAATCCAGGGGATCTTTTCGTCTTCCCTCGGGGACTCATCCACTTCCAGCTCAATGTGGGAGAGGAGCCTGCGGTTGGGCTCGCTGGCTTCAACAGCCAGAACCCCGGGACGTCTCAAGTGGCCAGGGCGGTGTTTGATTCTAATCCTCCCATCAACGATGACGTGATCGCCAAGGCGTTCCAGATTGATGACCGTGCTCTCATCCAGAAGCTGAGAGAGCTCATCAGCATGACTTGAATGTTTCGTTGATTCTATTATTAGAGATTTTTATTAATAAACTCATAAGATCGTTTCATTTTAAATGTGCAATATAAACATTGAGAATTTGACTCACTTGCATTGGCCTTGGTAGATTACTTCAGCTTTTGATTACACGCAACAATCTCCCATGCAAAGCAAAACTTCTAGAAGGCTGATGCCTACAATATGGCCAAATTTATAGTGCACCATTTTCTGAGAGCACCAGACGGTTTTAAAGAGCATTAACCAAAACTGCACTAAGCTTGGGGAAGTTGGTAGCAAATTTGCCAAAAAATAACCTACATAGAAGTAATGGATTTTACTTGTTAACGCTGCTCGCCCATGGGGAATTTGGTTAAGTTCATTTATATAGGTGTTGCAGGCAATTGTGTCATCTGGTTGCTCCAAGGAGAAAGTTTTCGCTGTTGAAATTAAGAGAGAACTGATGTTGATATCCAATTAAACTACATGACATTATGTTTTTGAACAAGACTTATATGGTGATATTTGATAATGCCATAATGGCATAATTAATAATGCCCTTTAAGGTATTTTTGCTTCAGTTAGGCAAGGCGGAATACCCTTGCTAACGTATATAAAACTTTTGATATTCCAAAACGTATATTATGAAATTGATTCTGGTTTACAAAACAATCATTAGCACAAAACATCAGAACCTTTAGAAAGATTGATTTTAATAACGAATTTGAGGTTTCTTTTCTAATTTTTTTATTATAATGATTCAACAAAAGAAAAAGGTGTCTCTTAAAAATATTACAATTAGCACCATATTGCCATGTAAAGTCGACTCAATTCTAGAGAAGTAATTTCAAACCATAAAATGAATGTTGTAGCTTGTATACTAAATGTTTCTGATCGTACGCAATATAAACTTTTGGTTGTTGCATGTAAATAGTTTTTGGTTTGTTTGTGGTAGTGGATATAACTAGAATATACTTGCATTTTCTGGGATATTCTACCATCAAACGGTTTTATTCATTAATCTCGTATTTATAATTTTGACCCTTCTTATAGTTTATAGAATTCCTAGTATATTTTAGCTTATTCTACCATATAAAGGCTAATATGTTCTCAAACTAATCTTGTATTTATAAATTATAAATTTTCCTAAACATGACTGGGATGGATTGATTCATTGCAGTAAATAATTATAACTATATATACTATTAAAAACCTTGAGATTCCAGGTCTTTACCTCACCATTACCCTCTTTTTCCCCATAGAATTTGAAGTTTCACCTAGTCTCTGTAATGTATACAAACACAACACCACAACAAATCAAAGAAGTGAATGACAAAAAAGGTTAAATCATACTTTTAAGCTATCTATAGTGATTTAATCTGGAAAAAAATCTGGAATTGATATATTGTGCAGATGAGAATAGAAAAATATTATTTCTAACTTTTTGAATATTTATAAAGCATTAACACGAAACAATGTAATGTAACTCATCATTAAAAAATCATCATCCTCTAGAATCAAAATAAATAAAATTTTAAATTTTAAATAATTTATAAATAAAATGCCTGTTTATGTCATAAAGAAAATTTAATAAGAGGTTAAATAAATCAAATAAGACATATTAGTTTAACATTTGATGAACACGACCCTGCTGAGTTTTAAGCAATTGGTTTATCTCTGTATGGTTTCTTCTTGCTGCTCTATCGCAAGCTCAAGAATACAGTTCGCGCCAGTGATATATGGTTCAAGTCTCTTATTTCTGAAAAAAAACTTATCATAAAGCTACTAATGGATCCTTTAGTTTGCACATGGGTAGCTTGGTTGTACTCTTTCCAAAAACTTTTCTTTATTTGCTCCTAGAGTATATGACTGGTTTGCATCGTGCTAACAGTTGGTGAGATATACGAATCCAATGCTAGAACCTAGACTTAAAGATGACCAGGTTCAGCCACAATAGTTCTAGAAGCCCTCTGGAAGATTGCTCGTCTTAGTGGTTTGGAGAAGCGTCATGCTCGCTTCGCCAGTCGCGGACGAAGTCATGCTGCAGGGCTTTTGGACAATGCCTCCAAGATCAAGGAGAACGGGGCGTCAAACCCGAGGAATCCGCCTGCGGTTGCAAAGTTGGTAGCAAATCTGCCAAACGAATTTATAAGGAACCAGGTAGTTCTTCCCCCCTTGGTCCCAGTGGCCTTATGCCTCCATATGGGCCGAAAGACATGTATTACTATTATAGTGTCAGCATGAAGAATTGTGTACGGTCCATTGTTGATGCAAAATGAACGAAGCTTGATGGGTCTATTGATCAAAGTACGTCATTCCTATCAAGGTAATTCATATCAAATTTTCCAAACATGTGAGTCCGTCGGTAGTTTGAGATCCAGATAGATCCAAACAAGGGTGAGTCTTGGGAGACTCCGACTGTATCAAATGGTGCCCCTTTTCTCGGATGAAATTCTTATTCAAGTTATTGGCATTACAAAGAAAATCCATACGTCTCTGGCGAAAAGTCTCTGGAAAGAAGAAAAACAGCAAATTAGTGCACTGTCACCTCAAATTCGAAGTTTCACTGAGTCGACGAGTACCTACCATCAAAACCAAGGTAGTCATTCTTTACACAAAAAATACGACTCTGACGGCGTCATGTCTGACGCAGGCAAGAAAAAGTCCGAGACGACTGACTAGGCAGGAAGAAAATCAGATTGTGGTACGCAGACAGCAAGAGTAAAAAATGAAATAGAAGGGAAGAGAAGTGTACCTGACTGAAACAACTCGTGCACGGCTCACGACGAAGTCATCCAAAGCTCCCCTCCTCCGGCTATTAAATGCCTGCCCCTCCCCCCCATAGCTCCATCACTTCTTTCCCAAGCTCGCAAGATGGCTCATCTTCGTTTTGTTCTATCCTTCCTCCTAGCAATCAGCTCCATCTTGTTGGCGCATGCCGCGGATGAAGATATGCTGCAGGACTTTTGCGTTGCGGACAATACCTCCAAGATCAAGGTGAACGGCTTCGTCTGCAAGGCGGCCGACGATGTCAAAGCCGAGGACTTCAAGTCGAGCCTCCTGGCGACTCCCGGGAACACCTACAACAAGCTCGGCTCCAACGTCACGCTGGCGAGCGCCATCAATTTCCCCGGTCTCAACACCTTTGGCGTCGCTTTTGCCCGCATCGACTACGCTCCCGGCGGCACCAATCCCCCCCACGTCCATCCCCGAGGAACCGAGCTGCTCTTCGTCCTGCACGGGACCCTCTACGTCGGGTTCGTCACCACCTTGCCGGACAACAAACTCTTCGCCCAAAAGCTCAATCCAGGGGATCTTTTCGTCTTCCCTCGAGGGCTCATCCACTTCCAGCTCAATGTGGGAGAGGAGCCTGCGGTTGGGCTCGCTGGCTTCAACAGCCAGAACCCCGGGGCGTCTCAGGTGGCCAAGGCGGTGTTTGCTTCCAATCCTCCAATCAACGACGACGTGATCGCGAAAGCGTTCCAGATTGATGACCGTGCTCTCATCCAGAAGCTGAGAGAGCTCATCGGCATGACTTGAAAGTCTCTCCAAAGGTTGCGAGGTTGAAAGCCTTGCCTGTCATGAAAATATAATAAATTCTTTTTCAAACCTTCCCTATCGATAGTGGAAGCTTCCGTAAGCACAGCTGCATGGCCAAGAATTGAGTTGATTTTCAATAAAAAACAAATAATGAGTTAAAACCAAACCTCGGAACTGCTAAGTTACTATGCCGCCAATTCCCATTTTAAAAACGCTCTTGGACAGATTTGCCAGCAGCACATACGTCGATCCAGTGCGAGGATCTAGCCTCAGCGCTCGATCCGCAATCCGCCCTGTCCGACACAAATCGTAATGCGATCGGCAAGACGCCAGCAAGACCCTACAAACCAGAGCATCCGGCGCAAACGGCATCGCGCGCAGCAATTCCTCGGCATTCTCCAGCTGCCCGCCACGGCCGAAGATATCGATCATGTAGACGAAGTGATCCCTGCCCGGCGCGATCCCAAAATCCCCTGTCACGAGAAGAAAGAAATCCCTGCTGCGATCCACGGAGCCGATGTAGGCGCAGGCGCTCAAGACGCTCCGGAATGTCACCTCATTTGGATCGCATCCCTCGAGCGCCATCGCCAAGAACAGATCGAGGGCTTTCTCGCCCTCGCCACAATGAGCAAACGCGGTGATCACAGCCGTCCACGACACCACGTCCCTGGACGGCATCGCGTCGAACAAACGCCGGCAGCCAATCACATTGCCATTCAGGGCATATGCGGCCACCATGGCGTTCCAGGATACCAGATTCCTCTCCGGCATAGAATCGAACGCGTGCTTTGCGCCCAGGACGTCCATCTCCTGCGAATATGCCGTCACCATGGTGGTGTACGACACCACGTCCCTGTCCGGCATCCTGTCCAGCAGGCTTTGGGCCTCCTCCACGTGGCGCTTCTGGGCGAGCGCCACGAGCATCGTGTTCCACGCCACCATATTCCAAGCTGGCATCTTGTCAAAGAAAATTGCCTTGATGGCATCGAGGGTGTCAAACGCGGCACTTGTCGCCAGCATCGTCGTCCACGCAATTACGTCCCACTCTGGCATCCTAGAAAACAGCTCCCGCGCTTCGTCAGCATAGCCATTCTGGGAATATACCTGTACCATGGTACTCCACGCAACCAGGTTGAGCTCCGGCATCCGTTGAAACCATAGCCGTGCGCTTGCCACGTCTCCGTACTGACCAAAACCATGGACCACCGTGGTCGTCGCCACCATGTTGAGCTCTGGTACGGTCTCTAGGAGGTCATGGAGCCTGCCGGGCCGATTTTGTGCATACGCTCCCAGCACCGTGCTCCATGACACAATGTCTCGCTCTTTTAGGGTTTCAAAGAACGCAAGCATGGATTCCAGGCTCTCGTTCTCGGCATATACCGCAAGCATTGCATTCCAGGAGATTAGATTCCACTCAGGCATTCTGGAAAAGATATCCTTTGCAGCGTCGATATGCCCAGATTGGGCATATGCCTGAAGCATCACAGTCCAGGAAACTATATCACGCTCTTCCATTCGATCAAAAAACCTCTTGCAAAGAGAAATCTGGCCGTGACGAGCGTAACCAAGCAGTAGAGCTGTCCAGCACGAAACATCCTTTTGCGGCAGTGATTTAAAGATTCTCTCCGCAAGATTTAGTTGCCCGAGTTGGGCATACGCAAGAACCATTGCGGATGTAGACACGGTGTTCTTGTTTGGCATTGCGCTCCAGATCTCGGCAGCCCTCTCGATGTTTCCAAATTGACAATAGGCATTGACAAGTGTGTTCCACGACACTCCGTTAGGGTTTGGAATAGCTTGAAAGATCTCCTCGGCCTCGCCAAGAAGCCCTTGTTGCGCATATGCCGCAAGAATCGCATTCCACGAGACAGTGTCACGCTCCGGCATCCTATCAAACATAGATTTAGCTTCCGAGATCAATCCACACTGGACATACGCACTGACCATTATATTCCACGAGTAAACATTGGGCTGCTTGATCCCAGCAAAGACTTCGTACGCTTCTTGAGACCTCGCGAACCGTCCGTACATCTGGATGAGAAGATTCGCAAGATACCGGTCGTGGCCGTGCCCTAGGGACTGGATCTGGCTGTGGATGCGTTTCCCCTCGCTCACACTTCTACACGTACGCAGCGACAAGGCAAGAGAATTTACGGCGGTAGACTCCATTGGCGCGAAAAGTATTTTAAAATTTTAAACACAAAGAATGGCGGGATGGAGTTTTAGGGTTTTTTGATGCTTGGGGCGGTGGCCCCGGAATGCCTCGCGGAGGCGCGCATGTCATTTGGCAAGCACAAGGGCAAGCTGATGCTTGTGCTGCCGCGCCACTACCTGGAATCCCTCTCGGATCACGCCGAGGTGGGGCATCTAGCGAGGAAAGCGCTCCAGACCAAGTTGGCCCCGAGATCGCCGCTCACCAGGGTCGACATCGCCGTCAAGAACGATCTCCTCGAGGCCCAGGCGCAGATCCTCCGAGACTGCGGCAACAACAGGGATTACGCGGGCGCCCAGAAGGTCCACCGCGAGATCCTCGAGATCAAGGGGCGCGACGGCCGCGACAATGTCTACCTCGCCAATCTCCTCATCCAGGCCTACGGCAAGTGCGGCAGCCTCGACGATGCCCAGCTCGTCTTCGATCGCATCCGCGACCCGAATTCCTTCTCCTGGAACATCATCATCAAGGCCTACGCCAATCACGGCCGCCTCGCCGACGCCCAGCGCCTCTTCGATCGATCGCCCGTCAAGAACGTCGTCACCTGGAACGCGATGATCACGGCCTACGCCCAGAGCGGCGAGCTCGATCAAGCGAAGGATCTCTTCGACCGTGCGCCGCAACGGAATGTGATAACCTGGACGGGGATGGTCCAGGCCTACGTCCAAAACGGGCGCCTGGACGACGCGAAGATCCTCTTCCAAAAGATGCCCCAGTGTGATCGAATCACGTGGAACACGATGCTCCAGGCTTTCGCGGAGTCTGGCGATGTGGAAGAGGCCGAGAGAATATTCCACCAGGGCTGGGACAAAGACGTTATATCCTGGACCGCGATGCTCGGCGCATATGCCAACGCTGGGCAAATCACCCGCGCGAGAGATCTCTTTGACAGGATGCCCGAGAGAAATATCGTGACGTGGAATAGCCTCATACTGTGCTACTGCCAGCAAGGCAACCTGGTAGAGGCCCGGCGACTGTTCGATACCATGCCCATCCAGGACGTGGTGACGTGGACGACTATGGTACAGGCACATGCCCAGCGGGGGCATCTGGAGGAGTCGAGGGAATTATTCGAGGAGATGCCGGAGCGCGACGTCGTGAGCTGGACGGCGGTGATTGCCGCCTACTTCCAGGCCGGTGACGTGGACGAATCCGCCGGGTTGTTCTCGAAAATGCCCGAGAAGACCATAGTCGCGTGGAATACCATGGTCGGCGGGTATGGTGAGAGCCGGAGGCTGGAAGACGCCAAGTATCTCTTCGACCTCATGCCCGTACACAACCAAACCTCTTACTCGATGATGGTCCAGGCGTACGGTTTAAACGGCCACCTAGACACGGCAGAGCGAATGTTCCGGGATATTCCCGAGAAGGACAAAGTGTGCATCAACGTGATGCTCTCTGTGTACGCGCACAATGGGAGAATGGAGGAGGCAAGACGAATATTCGAGAGCCTCACGGAGATCTCGTCGTGGGCCGTGGCGGTGATGGCCAAGGGATATGCCGCCTCAGGGCATCTGGAGGAGGCTAGGCGCTACTACGAGCGCCTGCCGTACGACGACGTGGCGCTGGCCACTTCCATGATCCAGGCGTACGGCGAGGCGGGCGAGGTGGACATGGCGAGGGCGCTGTACGACACCGTGCCCGTCAAGGACGTCATCTGTGGCACCGCCATGATCGTTGCATTTGCCCAAAACGGGCATCTGGAGGAGGCCAAGGTCGTTTTTGATGGGCTGGTAGTACGAAACGTCATCGCCTGGACGGCCATGTTCTCGTCGTTTGCAAACGAGGGTTTCATCGATGAGGCGCGCTCCATGTTTGATCGCATGCCGGAGCGATCGGTGGTGTCCTGGAACACGATGATTGCCGCCTACGCTGAGATCGGCGAGCTCGAGGCCGTGATGGAGATCTTCTCGCAGATGCCGGAACGCAACTCGGTCTCCTCGAACATCCTCATCGCCGCGCACGTCCGGAGGGGAAATTTCGCCGCCGCGCAGGGCTTCTTCGATTCCATGCCAGATCGCAATGGCATCAGCTGGAGCAGCCTCATCGGCGCCTACGCGCACAGCGGCCAGCGCCGCGCCGCCCTGGATCTCTTCCACACCATGGCGCTCGATGGAACCCCGCCCGACGACGTGATCTTCCTCGAGGTGCTGGGGGCGTGCAGCCACGCCGGCCGCGTCGAGGACGCCCGGGAATATTTCCGGTGGATCAGCCAGGATTTCGAGCTGGCGCCACAGATCGAGCACTACCGCTGCCTGGTGGATTGCCTGGGCCGCGCCGGGAGGATCCGGGACTGCGAGGAGCTGATCGACACCATGCCCTTCTTTCCAGACGCCGTGGCGTGGATCACTCTCCTGGGCGCGTGTAGGGTTCATGTGGATGTGGAGAGGGGCGAGAGGGCGGCCGATCGAGCGCTCGAGCTGGATCCAATGCGCCCGGCCACGCATCTTCTAATGACACACATCTACGCGGCCGTGGGGAGGACCAAGGACGTCGAGAGGATCCGCCGGATGATGAGGATCAAGGGGATCAAGCTCCACGCCATGAATCTTGCCGAAAACCGGAGGTATCTCTAGGGCGGGAGTTTTAAAAAATTTCTAGCGGGAGTTTTCGCACATTCCGTTGACATCGCTGCATATTCCGTTATTCTTCGCGGGTAAAGGTACTTTTGAATTTTCTTTGCTCGTGGCTGAGTTCCATAATCAACAGATAGCCTGGAGAGAAACCATTGCGTCCACGGCAATGCTTTATTTTTTCTTCTGGCGTGGAGAGAAGGGTATTCATTGCGACAACGATATATATACAAACAGGTGATTGATTAAAGTACTCTATTTCGATAATTCTCGCGGAAGAGAATCAGCGAGTTCCCCGACAACTTTACAGATACTAGATGCAAATTCGGCCGGCTTCACAGTTTTTTTTCGCGACGATTTTGATCCTCTGGACAACGACCAACGCAAAAGCTTTTTCCTCGCAGTGAGTGCTGGCTGCTACCTTTTCTTCTTCTTCATCTTCTTCCTTATGATTGTATATGTCAACACAGTATGCTGGATTGTGCTTCTTGCATTCCAGAGTTGTTTGTGGATTGCTGTCACATGTTAGATATTTTGTTAGCGTTTCATATGCCAACTTTGACACGTTGCAGAAGTGCGGATGCAGGAAAGGTTTTTAGGAAACTCCTACTCCAAGGAAGTCATAGAAAGCCGTTTCACCTGAAACTTGCTGCTGCTGGTGTTGCTGGTGCTGCTGTTGGTGCTGCTGTTGAAGCTGGTGCTGTTGCTGCTGGTGGTCGAGGGAATGTCTTCCCAACCGCAACGCAGTACTCAGGTCACTGGTGTCAGAGTTTGCAATCCTTTTCCTATCGTGGACGAAGTTGGCGGTGGAAGATACGTTATGTGAGAAAAAACTTCGATCTTGGAGCTTGTAAGCGCTTGCTTCCGGCTGTTGGCTCATGAAAACACTGCTATTAGAAGTCTCCATTTCTTCCCGAACGTCAGGGAATTCAAATCCAGCTAAAAGCGGTGGGCATGCTCTCCTTTCTGCCGCATACGCACGTATCTTTGGTAAGTTGTTTCCTTTTGTCGGTGTTGCACTAAGCGAGCTGTTTGTACCTCCAGGAAAGGCTTTTGGATACTTGTAAGAATCCACTTGAGGAGGGCACAGAGAGAGGAGTCCTTTGAGCTTGGAGAATTCCCTGTTTGCCGCGGCCTGGTGGTGATAGAAACTGTTGTCGACACCGTGATCGTGAGAAGTATTGCCACCAAAGTTGTAGCACCCGCTATCTGCTGCTGAAGAAGACGAGGCAATGATGGAGTACTTGTGGATCCAGGCAGTGAGGGACTGAGCCACAGTCTGTCCGCCGGAGGGAAAGGCCTTTTTGGAAGACGTTCTGCGCGCCAGGGACGTCGGGAATTGGGACTTTCTAGCTCTAGTGATGCTGCTGCTGCTCGACGAGCTCCTCGACTTCTCCCGGAGCTTCCTCGCCATTATAACGTGCCAGTGGTTCTTGACGGCGTTGTCAGTTCTACCTGGGAAGAGCCTGGCAATGAGAGCCCACTTGTTGCCGTGGATTTGATGGGCAGCCATGAGCCGGTCCTCTTCTTCTTCGCTGAAGGGGCGCCGGTTGATCCTCGGGTCCAGCTGGTTAAACCATCGAAGCCTGCAGCTCTTTCCTGCACAGACAGATATCAGATGATGGTCAGCCAGTCGGGTCCGCATGTCTCTAGCAACGATGACTTTCGGGGAGTCCGAATTCTCCAGCGGTCAGTGCAAAGAGATGATCTTTTGGAGCGATGCAGTGATGCAAACTGGGATATCGTGAAACGGAGAAACGGGAGAAGATTGATGATATCCCCGGGGGATGCAGAAAGATTGTGTATCGTACCTGATCGCCCGTGCAAATTCTCCGCGATTACGTTCCAATTCTGGGGGCCATGGAGAGCAACCAGCTGCTTGAGCTTATCATCCTCGGCAGGCCGCCAATGACCCCGGGGATAGACAACTCTGGAAAAATTTCCCTCGCTCTCATGATCGGCCCCAGCTCCTCCCGAAACCAGCCTCAACTTATCCTCCGGCTCTTCCAGCGACTCAGCGTCCTCGACACCGCCAGCTTCTTCTTCTTCGTCGTCTTCGTCCCCATCGTCGTCGTCTTGATCCTCGTCATCCTGGTTGAGATATCCTTTCTTCCGCTTTGAGCTCCTCCGATCATCTCCTCTGTCATCCTCGTTGGAGCTGCTGCTTTGGTGACTACTTTGGCTGTGATCAGCTACCGCTGCCGCTGTGAGCAGGCCCAAGCCTCCATACGACTTAGTGGACGACGATTCCTGGCGGCCGGGAAAGAAGGAGCTCTCTGCCATCAAAGCTCTGAATTGGATGGAGGACAGGATGGAAGAAATTTAAGAACCTCTCCAGATGCTGCTGCTCGTGAGATTCAACAGTGACTGTCGCTCGTGGCGGCGACGCTTCACCGCCAGAAGAGAAGGAAAGACTGACACGGATCACTCAACAGCAAAAGCAGTTATTCATCTTCCCGGCTCGATCAGCGTCGACAAGCCAGGGGCGAGCAAGAAGAGTACTTTGATCGCAAATCTCCATCCGACTACCTACTGATTATAATGCGCCGGTGAGAGAAAAGCGAAGGGAATTTCTGGAGCATCGAAGCATCGAAGCAAGAACAACAGGCAGGTACTATTCCTTTTGGTTTTTCTTCTTTCCTCTTGTATATATTTCTTTAGTTCTGAATTTTTTTTTTTTCCTTTCGGTTGTTGCTGCTAGGAAATGAGGGAAGAAGGGAGAGAAGAGTTAGTCCTCATTCCACATCCGCGGTGGTGCGATTGTCGCCGTTTTCTAACCAACCAATTGACCCCGCAGCGGCACAAAAAAAAAAAAAAACCAAAAACAACGAGACAAGGAAGAAAGATAAGAAAGAAGGAGAGAAGCCCCACACCCAGGCAATTTATACTCCCGGCCAAGAACGGGTCAGAACAACACGGGATCTCGGTAATGATCTTCTTTAGGAGAAAAGTTTGATCTTTTAAAACAAGGTGAAAGCTTGGCTTGCTTAATAGTAATAGAAACGCTTGCTTTGCCTTGAGTGCCTTGTTGTTTGGCTGCCAAGTGTGACCTGTGATTGTTGAGATGTCACAACACCAGCAACATTACCACTCCAAAGAACCAAACTTGGGACACGCAACTCTTTCGCTCGTGACAGTGATATGTTTCTTGGCTGCCTTCTCCCTGCCAAAAGTAAAGTAGAAATCCCTCTCTTTGTGTGTTTATCTCCTTTTGTCTATGGTAGCTTCCTTGTCTCTCTCCCGGCCTGGTCCCGGATCGATCCCGCGACCCCTCCCCCTTTTGTTGGTGGCGTTTGTATTGTTGTTCGTCGCTGTCGCTGTCGCGGTCGCTGTTGCGGGGACCACGTCTGGCCGCTGCCGGAGACGGCGACCCCTGAGAAGCGAACAAGCGAATCTTTGTTATTCATGAGCTCTGTCGCGGTCGGAATATCCTTTGACTATAGTAGCACCTCTCCACATTTAAGAGAAGATAGATTGGATCCTAGAGATATCGTGATCCCCCAGCGTTTCATTGACTTGCACCTCTGCGAGTTAAAGTTGTAAGTTGTCCTCCTTTTCTTTGGCTTGATTTTTTCGTTCTTGACCCTGAGAAGAACAAAGAAAAATATCAGCGAGAGAAAGTCTTTTCAATTCCGAAAGACCTGTGCTGTTGCTGTTGCTGCTGCTCGCCACTGTTGCCTGATTGATTGATTGATTGGTATGTTCGTCCGTCGTATGTAATATAAATAGCCAATGCTGATCGATGCCCTCTGCTGCTGCCAAGTCCCATGGAGAAAGAAAGATATTGTCAATCAATCGAGATCAGCTAAGTAGGTGGTGGTGTGTAGTCTGCTTACCTCTGTGTGTGTGCGTGGCTCAGCTCGTTCTCTTATTCTTTTCTCGCAGAGGGACGAGAAGGACGGACGGAACAACAAGGACGGACGGAACAACAGCTCGTCTCTTTGATCATCGGTGCTCCTTTGCCACCGCTGTTAGGTGGCTGGAACTTTCTGTTATAATACCAAAGGACAAAGCGTGAAAGAAGTGAGAATCTAACACATAAAACTCTCATACCCGTGTGCAAACATCTTGTCTTTATTTGTTCCCCCTCGATGCTCAATCTCTCTCTCAGGGCCTCCATCATTCTTAATCATACTCGAATTCGTTTGAGACACACCTGCAAGATGGAAGACACAGACTTAATAAGTACCTCTAGATACTTACAGATGCAAGTCAAACTTGGAGCAAGTATCAAATCCCAAGCCAAATCCTCCCATGCCGTGCCGTGCCGTGCCGTGCCACTGTCCTTCGACTACTGTGCTACGCTTTCTCTTCCAGACAAACGATCAAACATCCCCTAGGTGCTTTACTTCCCGAGGTGGCGATGATCAATAGCAACCAGGAGGAAAAGGCTGCTTTATCTAACCTGGTAGCGCTAGACCCGAGCAATGCACGAAGAAAAGCCTGTTCCTTTGTGTTCCTTACCCTGGACTCCGGACTTTACAGCAACGGTGTTTAAAGCTGTGAGGTATGCCTATACATGTTTCCATGTCTCCACAACGTATATCTGGAATCCAACAACCAGCAACGAACGTCGTTAGTACAGGAAAATACAATGCACTGACGGACTGATGGAGAGAGAAGCGGGAAAAGAAACTTAGAAATAGCTGCAGATGATGCAACTTGGCCATTCTTTCCACACTGTCTCTACTGCACTGCAAGCAAGCTGAAGAAGACTTCACAGGCAGAAGCACTAGTTGTCCATCCCGAATCCCTCTCACTCTCTCTTTCTCTCTGAAAGGAAACTAAAGCAAGCAAAAAACAAATCTTACAGTCTAGGAAGAGCGAGGCCTTCGAAAAAGACCAACTTCCCATGATGAAAGGCTGGGTGTGTCTGCGCACTGCAAAGCCAGTACCTGTTTCGCAGACCAAGTTAGCGACGTCACACGTAAATGAAACATACATATACATACACCGGGAAAAAGATTAAACCCACCTTTCTGTAGCTCGTCCAGGAGTTTCGCCTGTAACGGAAAATGCAAAGGCCTGACGTTCCCAAATACGTCAGGCAAAGACAACTGAGCGACCGCTGCAAAGCCAGAAACGGACGAAGGCGGTGTTAGTTTTAATCATTCATTAGTTTCCTTTCTCTCCCGCTCTCTCTTCCTCTCTTTCTGGCAACTTTTTCTGTCACATTCAACTCAGTATGCAGAAGCGGTGAGGTGCAAGTAAAACAAACAGAAACTAAAAGAACGGAAAAGACCGGTTGTGAGAGAGGTACCTATCCTGCGATGAAGCAGAAACTTTAAAATGTCTAGTAATGACACAGTTAGAGCAATCATCACGCGCGCACTTGCTCTTACATTGATCTAGGTGATCCAAACCACAAATATGTTGCTGTCGAGTATGCAGAAGCCTGCACGCAAGAAAAAAGGATAGTGTTGCGATCTCAATAGATACACAAAGTCACTACCTCTTTCACTGCTGCACCGCTGCTGCCTGAGTGACGAAAATTACTAGTAGCTCTCCACGTCTCTACAAACACAACCACAAGAAATGAATAAAGCAATCAAACGCCCCAGAGCACACCAGGAAACTAGACTCGCCATGATTTGAGCAAACGTCGCCGGCGGAAGTACCTCACGCCAAAACAAACACAAACTTATCAGCAGTTGTTTCGCGTGAACAAGATAAAAAACACATCGACAACACAACTTGAAAATAAATTAAACGATAACCAACCCGCGCTCGTTTAACCTTGTATCCACGAGTACACTGCACGCAATGAGAAGAGAAAAGCGTGCGTTAGTATCCCGATAGATACACAAAAACAAGGTACCGTACCTCGTTCTCCTGCTCTGCTGCTGCCTCAACATGTCACAAACACAAAGACACCAGCTCCTTAATGCAAAGGTTAAGTCTATTAGAATGACTGCTGCCATTTACAAAGAGATGCAAATACATGGACTACAACTAGTCTGAATCAAACCAAGCAACAAAAGCTACCTCCTACAAGCACACCCTCCACTGCTAAGCTAAATCTATCACCTCCGCCCCGAATGATAAGGAAAAAAAAAAAAAGAGAGCACTGTACCCATCCCATTGATGCCCTCGAGCTCCAGTTTCTTGATGCGTCTGTGTATGTGCCTTTGATCCAGTTGGCGGAGTATGCAAGAATTTAGCTGCGTGAATCAGCTAACCTGCTGGGGATACGTTCCATACGCCTGTGGAAAATTGCCGTAGGCATAGGCTCCAGGATCTTGTGGCGGAGGGGCAAAGCCGTAGCATTCGTATCCTTGCCCATAGCCGTAGTAAGGACCGTTCCATTGGTTAAACTCTGGCTGGACCTGCTGTCCCCATGGCTGGAGTGGTCGCTGGTGACAAAGAAGTATCAGAACCAGATAATTAAGAGCCTCCGCGGCTTACCTGTTTGTTTGCAGGACTTCTGCCCCATGATAAACGAATCGTTTGCTGTCCTATAGTCGAGCCATGAAGTTTTTGTAAGGCTTCTTCAGCACTCGCCCTACACCACAATCACATGTTAAACTTGTGAACGACAAAAAAAAAACAGAAGACAATTACCTAGTGTAAAACTGGACAAAACCACAGTTTTTACCAGCAGGGATCTTGACGTACTGTATATCCCCAAATTGAGAGAAAACCTGCTTCAAATCTTCATCTTTGACACTGTGGTCCAGTCCACCGACGAAAACCTTCAGGAGGAGTAAAGTTTGAAGTCATCGCAACAAGCTAATTGAAAGAGTGTTACCGTAGTGTTAGATGGGTCATTGTCAGTTAGAGGTGGAACTCCAAAATTTTGACTCGGGTAGAAAACTGTTAAGGAGTTTCCGTCAGAAAGAAAAGAAGCGAATACAATGACATGAAAGAAAAAGTTGATAAGAAACATAAAAAAAAACAAACCTTTCGGTGGAATCGTTGCTAAAGATTTCTTAGGTGTTGCAGTACTAATCCTCATGGGACGAGTCGAGCAGTACACACCCGCCATTTCTGTCATGGCCCTCATCTTCTCGGCTTCGTCCCCAAACCTCACAAAGCCATAGCCCTTGGAGCGAGCGGTTGTAGTATCCATCACCACCTTTGCACCCTTGACAGACGAGTAGCGGCTTTGAAACGTTTCCTGCAGCATGTAATCTGTGACATCCGGCGCGAGGTCCCCCACGAAGATGGAGAAGTCCGGACCCTGGTCTGGCCTTCTCTCCCCGATCCCAAAACAGGCCCAGTTGAGGCGGAAGGCTATATCTGTCGAAGGCATTTGAGTACCATTAAAAGACTGAAGGACTTTCTCTGCAGTGCTATGGTTGGTAAACTCAACAAAACCGTAACCCTCTGAATATCCAGTCTGCTTATTGCGTATGACTTTGGCAACTTGTACCTAAATGCCAACCAAAGAGAGAAAAGGATTTAAAAACACAAGCCAAGCAAGGCATGGAACGTGAAAAAACGAAAGAGAACAATGCAAGCACTGTCAATGCACATTGCAAGAAAAAGAGCCTCTCTTACCTCGGAAGTGTGAGCAAAGCAGCTATAGAGGTAGCCCTCGTCCATCCAGTACTGGAGATCGCCCACCCAGAGCGTCTTGAGCTCCCCGTTGGCGTGCCCGGGGCTGTGAGCCTGGCCCTGCTTGAGAGGAGGCAGCATGACGCTCACCGGCGGCAGCATTTCTTGCTGTGGCGGTAGAATCCCGGCCTGTGAAATCCCCAGCTGTGGCGGCATCCATGCCTGCTGCGTCGGCGGCTGCGCTGGCGGCGGCGGCGGCGGACCCTGGTGCTGCTGCTGCTGCGGAGATTGAGCTTCCGGGGGAGCGTGAGGCGCCGGCGCCTGCATATTTCCTGGCGGAAGAACCCTAGCCTCGCCTTGAGAGAAAAACAAGAACCTTGGAAAGCTTCCGCGCCGTGGAGGGCCGCGCGCCTCTACGCCGTCTCCTCCTCCAGCGCCGTGCGAGCCAGCGGCATAAGGCCCTAACTAAACCCTAAAGCCTCCGCGCCCCTGGCCTTCCCAAGCTCCGGGAGAGACAGGGAGAGAGAGAGAGATGGAACACAAAACAGCACAAGGATAGAGGGAAATTCCAGTGGACCGCGGCGATTGGCCCAGGGTGGGCACGTGGCGCGCATCCAACAGCCAGTCCCAGCGGCACCGCAACGTCCGTTTGATCCGGCGGAGCGACGGCCGGGATCCGTCTGCCGCCACCCCGTGTCACAGCCCTACTTGGAGATATTTCCCCAATTTTGGCGGGGATTCGAACCCCAAACAGCCGAGTATATTCACGCTTTATCCTATTTCAACGGCCCAGATTTCCTCCTACAGCTGTCACCGTCGCAAGTTGCTGGATAAAAGGTTGATACTTTTACGAAAAAGGAGTGTGATTTTTTAAGCTATCTATTTTCGGGAATTAGGGTTCTTGCGAGCTATGGCGTTGGCAGCTTGCAATGCGGCTTGGGCGCCGCGCATGTCTCGCAAATTTCGGGTTTCTCGAGATCGCAGGGCCCGGGCAGCAACCGTGATGCACGGTTTCGCCCCAGATCTCGTGACTCCGGTCGGGCTCACGTTCAAATTTGAAGTGGAGGAATTGCCGCCCGAGACATCGCCATTTCACAGGAAACCTGGGGAGAAGAGGCCCATTCCATCGCCCGAGCAGACGCAGGATGGAGCTCAAATCGGAGCGCCCGTGGACAAGATCGACAGGCTCGACTGGACTGATCCGGGCGATATTTTCCAGTTTGTGGCCATCAGGTAAACAAACGACGAAGCACCAGAAAAAATATCAGCCTTATCGTTGCGATATTTACTTTGGGTGGCAGTGCCGTGTTGATATTCTTCTTTTGGTTTACAAACTATTACGTTCCCCAAGTGGTTTTCAAGGATGTGTTTGCCAAGGCCGAAGAGGAGCAAGAACTGGCCAAGCAAGAGGCCGCTAAAACCGCAGCTCAATCACCGCCATCGCCACCGCCACCACCAGAGAGGACGAAGATCAACAACAAGCGATACAGGACATTCAAGAAGAAAACGAAGGAACAAGTCGTGATAGACGTGTAAAATCAAGCTTGTTCTTCCATTCAAGAATTCGTGTAGAAGAAATCTAGTTTATTCTACTTCCTTGCTCGAATCAGTCAAGGAATTGTGAATACAAGCAAACTTTTCACTGCCCTCCACGAAGACGCAGAACCAAATGGAGCGTCGACTCCTTCTGGATGTTGTAATCAGCAAGAGTCCGGCCATCCTCGAGCTGCTTGCCAGCGAAGATGAGCCTCTGCTGGTCCGGTGGAATGCCCTCCTTGTCCTGGATCTTGGTCTTAACGTTGTCAATCGTGTCGGAGCTCTCTACCTCCAAGGTGATCGTCTTGCCAGTGAGAGTCTTCACGAAGATTTGCATGCCACCACGGAGACGCAAAACCAGGTGAAGCGTAGACTCCTTTTGGATGTTGTAGTCCGCAAGAGTGCGGCCGTCCTCAAGCTGCTTGCCTGCGAAGATCAATCGCTGCTGGTCCGGGGGGATGCCTTCCTTGTCCTGGATCTTGGTCTTCACGTTGTCGATCGTGTCCGAGCTCTCCACCTCCAAGGTGATCGTCTTCCCTGTGAGGGTCTTGACGAAAATTTGCATACCTCCACGAAGGCGAAGGACCAAATGGAGCGTCGACTCCTTCTGGATGTTGTAGTCGGCCAGAGTCCGGCCATCTTCTAGCTGCTTGCCCGCAAAGATCAAACGCTGCTGGTCCGGAGGAATGCCTTCCTTGTCCTGGATCTTGGTCTTCACGTTGTCAATTGTGTCGGAGCTCTCCACCTCGAGCGTGATCGTCTTCCCCGTCAAGGTCTTGACGAAGATTTGCATACCCCCGCGAAGACGAAGGACCAAATGGAGCGTGGATTCCTTCTGGATGTTGTAGTCGGCCAGAGTCCGGCCATCTTCTAGCTGCTTGCCCGCAAAGATCAAACGCTGCTGGTCCGGAGGAATGCCTTCCTTGTCCTGGATCTTGGTCTTCACGTTGTCAATTGTGTCGGAGCTCTCCACCTCGAGCGTAATCGTCTTCCCCGTTAGGGTCTTGACGAAGATTTGCATACCTCCTCGAAGGCGCAGCACCAGATGCAAGGTCGACTCCTTCTGGATGTTGTAATCCGCGAGCGTGCGCCCCTCCTCGAGCTGCTTGCCGGCAAAGATCAATCGCTGCTGGTCCGGAGGAATTCCCTCCTTATCCTGGATCTTCGACTTAACATTATCGATCGTGTCGGAGCTCTCGACCTCGAGCGTGATCGTCTTGCCGGTGAGAGTCTTCACAAAGATCTGCATCGTTCTCTAAAAATCAAAGAATCAAAGAAACCCTAAAAAATGAATCAAAGAACTGGTGAGGTTGGGGCATGGACGCACCGTTTATAAATACGCGAGGATGGAACAGGCGCCGTCGATTGGGGACGGCATCCAAGGGCTCCGATGCGACCGACAAAACTTACCGGCCAAACCAAGTCAATGACGTGGCCGCCTTCGCCGCCACTTGGAACATACTAGAATTTTCCAGGCTCTTTGCTTCCTCGCGGAAATTTCTCCTCCCAACTTGGCTGTGGAAATTCTTTTGCGATGGCGCAGAGGACACGCACTCAAAGCGAGATTCTCCAAACCATTGACGAAAAAGCAGCAAATCCATTCAAGCATAATCTTCCTGGGAATCAAACCTCGGATCTTTTGCTCGGGGATTCCTTCGTACCGCGGGTGACACCACCAAAAGATTCCATCTTAGCTTTAAGTCGGCTTTCCTCGAGATATTCTTTTCGCGATGGTCCGTCCACCGTATGCTTTGCATCGTTTTGTCATCCAAACGCACTACACCTTGTTTCCACCCCAGAAAACAAAGGGCATCGTCGCGCGGTAGAGCATCGAGCCCGTGACCTCACGAGGCCCACTCTCCTTGTTTGGCGAGAGAATCAAACTTAATTATGCGTAGTGTTTATCCATGTCAACCACGGGAAATCGAGTGCCAATCCTCTGAACCTAGCTAGATCTCGCAGCGGGGAGGACAAAATGAGGACACTTTAAGGTACAAAGCTCATCGCATTGGACGGATCGATTTTTGCCCCTTTCTCTTTGCAGGAATCGTGTGCCCCCAACCAGTTCTTTGGGTGTTGCTATTTTTCTCCACCCCTCGCTCTCATCAGTGCTGCTGGGTATGATGAGAGCTCTGTTTCTCTCTTTCAGCGAAAGAGGACCCTGGAGGATCTGCGACATCGTGATTGCAACGAGGACTATAGGTAGTGCTCCTCCCACACAAGTACACACCATACACGCATCTGTACGTAGTCGGCCATACGTAATGTACGTACTTCTTTTTCTTTGCATTTGCTCGAAATGGAAAGGAAAGGTGGCGCGGGTGATGGCGGTGGTGGCGGTGGCGGTGATGGTGGCATTCTCGCAGCTACGCAGCCAGCGCAGCCCTCGGAAATCTTTCTAGGCAAAGTAGCTAACACGCACAGAATTACGGCAGACACGAACCAGAGATGATTGCATCTTCTCAACGCATTACCGTGAGTGACCTAAACCCAATTCCAAGAACTTCCCTGTTGTCCCAATGCAAGAATCTCACATCACACACTTCAGCATATTGGACACACATACTAGGTACACACCATTTTGGTGCTTCCCCCCATCTCAAACCCTATAAGATAGAAGCCACGGGGTCGGGTCATTCGATCTGCATGAGCCGAGGATTTTTAACCATTCCGCCAAATTTTTCCTGCGCATTATTGCCCCGCCCCGAATCATTTAAAATCATTTTGCGAAAATCCCGCTGTCAGGCAAAATCCACTCCCTTCAATTAACCGCGCCACGAGCGCACACGAAACATATCCAAGGGTCTAGTTTGTACCCCGCGGTAAGAACTCCCGTTCCCCCAGTTCTGGATGACGGACGACGGACGGGCGCCCGTCAGCCGGGCAGCAGCACGCGGCACGGGCAAGCATGCGGCACGTCACCCTCGTCCGTCTTTTTGGTCCCACCTCGTCGCCGTGACGGGGATGGGTGGGTGGCGCCCGTCGCTTTTCCTTCCCGGGTTTCTGACAGGCGGCCGTCTGGCGAGCCAAGCGTATATACCGTATACTTCCGCATTGGGATTTTGCATGCAAACGAACATGCTGTTGCAGTAAATGGAAGGGTTAAATGCATATATACTTGCCATCTATGGGGTTCCATGGAATAATGCGCGCGAGGGCATGCGCGCATGAGCGCTCCATGAGCGTCGCATCATGCCCACCATGATGCATCATGTGATGGCGGCTGGCCATGCCATACGGTGCATGGGGCTCCGTGCTCCCCCCCCAACGTAGAGATCATGGATGGATGGGGTGGAGCCTTATCTCCTTTGATGATACCACACAACAACAGTGTGATCATCTAGAACTGCAAGGTTTATATTTTTTGCGGGCAATGATTGGTCCGGCGATCGTTAGGCAAAGCAAAGCAAGCACCAGCCAACAAGGCGTCATGTATAGGGTTCTTGTTTGCCTTCTTCTTCCTCGCGAGACAACACATCACATCCCACCTTACAACTTACTCCAGCGTCCGCAAGTATCAAAATGTTATTCCAGATCCTCAGAGATCGAGGGCCCACGTGTGCGGCGAATCCTCAACCGCCCAAACTCCGGATGCCGCCAAAACTCCCCACCGTCCCATATAAAGGCGTTGCATTCCCCTTTCGCTATTTCGGACCAAGATGCCCACCCAGGGCATCTGCTACGCTTTAAAAAGAGAATGGAGACATGGCACTGGAATATGCATACCAAGAAATTGTTACCGCGCGACACAAGGAGTTCACCCAAGGGTTAATATTTTACTTTTACTTTGAGGATTCCGAGCTCAGCGGGAATCGAACCGGCGGTCCCACTTCCAGTCCAAGAGGCCATAGGAAAGCCCGAGCGGCAGCAGATCTATCACCTCGCCAAACAAATGGTTGTTTATTAAGTTTGAGGAGGGAACCATATCTTTGGCCCTTGCTCTCACCTCACTCAATTCCCTTTGTAGTTTTCATTGCTTGTTGCCTGAGGCAGACTCCACAGCTCTTGTACTTAACACACGGCTCCCCAGGAATAAAGCTTATACATTGGTTTTGTGATGAAACGAGAGCACGGGATGCCACTCAAGTAAAAGTAAATTGGGCAAGTAATTACAGCCTGACCGTTACGGTGCTGACTGTGCCCTAGTATCGGCCACGTGGAGTCCCCCGACCCCTCTCTCCTTCACGGCCATGACGGGGATGGCCTTCACGACCCGTCACTATCCCGTGCGCCTGCCGCACGTGAGAGTGAAGAGGGAAGGAATTTCGCGACGGCCGCTGCCCGGCACTTCATGGAGGTGGAAGGGACGTCAAGCCCGTCTTAAGGACAGCCCGCCAAGCTATGGCTAGCTGTCCTCGAGTGTAGTGCGCGCGCGGCTTTCGGAGGACAGTGTCCTTAGCACTGTGAAAGGAGGAAGCCCCTTGTTGTTAAAGAACAACGGAGAGCTTTTACATGTCGATAGAAGAGGCTTGAGCGGCGTGCATTTTTTGCTTTATATCCAAGCTTTTAGCTATGGAGCTTTGAGCGAGAGCTAGGGTTTTCACTCTCGTAGACGAACGAAGCGCCAACGCTGTGCGACAATCGCGAGCGCGAAATTTCCAGCAAGAGCTAGGTGAGTTGCGATCGAGTGCTTGCTCCACTCTGATTCATAAAAGATTTTCCTGTCAATGCAGGTAAGAATGCCGCGCAGAAGAAAGACGCCGAAAGCGCCTGGGGAGACGTCCAGTCGGCCCGGCGACGAGGCCGACAGGCCCGATCCCTCGACCGCGGCCGAGATTTTCCGAAATGCGCCCGCGCCAACGCCCGCGCCGCGAGCGCAGATTGTTCCTTCTCAGCCTCCTCGCGCTGCTATGGGAGCTCCTCCGAGGCCTCAGGTCCCGCGAGGAGGAGGGCGAGAAGGCGGCGGGAATGGAAACGGTGGAAGATATGGAAGGGGTCGCGCTGGAAGGGGCTTTCCTCCTCACGAGCCCGGCCATCAGGCTTCTACATCGTCGGCGGTGGTGGCTTCTCAGCAGTCTCAAGCTTACTCAGTCCCTTACGGGATGGCTCCTTACTACGGCGTTCCTCCTCCAATTCATTTTGGTCAGATAGCGCAATTTCCTGGAATACCATACGGCCAGGCGCCTCCTCAAGCTCCTCCGTATGGCCACACCGGCGTGACAATGCCGTTGGCTGGGCCTTCTACGAGTCTCATCGAGGAGAAGCTGGGGAGCTTGCAAGTGCAGCCGCCGGAAGAGCCTCCTCGCACTCTTGTATCCAGCAAAGCTCTCGGTTTCCCTCGAAGGCCAGGCAAAGGTGTGATGGGCTCCAAGTGCGTGGTGAAGGCGAATCACTTCTTTGCTGAGCTTCCTGACAAGGATCTTCATCAATATGATGTAAGTTCGAGCTACTCGGTTGGTTTGTTCGAGTTTCTCATTGTTTTTGTGGTTTCACAGGTCACAATCACTCCCGAGGTTACATCGCGAGGGGTGAATAGAGCGGTCATGGAGCTGCTCGTGAAGCTCAACAGGGAGGCTCTGGGTCGCAGACTTCCCGCTTATGATGGAAGGAAGAGCTTGTACACTGCTGGTCCACTTCCTTTTCAGTATAAAGATTTCCAGGTGACCCTCCCTGACGAAGAGGACGGAACAAATGCGCCAAGGTAAGCTCCTTTTTACTCCTCGCTTGCGTTTTACAATAATCGCTTTGGTTCTATACACAGGAGGGAGAGATCCTTCAAGATTGTTATAAAATTCGCGGCACGCGCGGACTTGCACCATCTGGGAGAGTTTCTGGCCGGAAGGCAGCCCAATGCACCCCAGGAAGCTCTCCAAGTTCTCGACATCGTGTTGCGTGAGCTTCCCACTCACAGGTAGTGGTCTCCCATCAGTCACCGTGGTTTATATATTTAACACCTATTTTTTCAAGGTATTCGCCTGTTGGACGATCATTTTATTCCCCTGATCTTGGACGGCGACAGCCACTCGGGGATGGCCTGGAAAGTTGGCGCGGGTTTTACCAAAGTATCAGGCCGACGCAGATGGGATTATCGCTTAACATCGGTATGTGGTGTGCTGTTTTATAATGTCCTTGTTCTCAGCTAGATCTCTTGACAGATATGTCGTCAACTGCATTCATTGAGCCCTTGCCGGTAGTGGATTTTGTTGGACAGCTTTTGGGGAAGGATCTCAGTAGACCTCTCTCGGACGCTGATCGCATTAAGGTCTGATGGATGCAACTCCAATGCTGTGTCGCTAATTGTCATTCTACAGATCAAAAAGGCATTGCGGGGAGTGAAGGTTGAGGTTACCCACCGAGGTACAATGCGGCGGAAGTACAGGATATCTGGCTTGACCTCACAGCCAACGCAAGAACTCACGTAGGGCACACATTACGGTAGCTTTCGTGCTTCTAAAGCATTTTTCAGGTTTCCTGTCGACGAAAGAGGAACTTTGAAGTCAGTGGTCGAGTATTTTCGCGAAACCTATGGCTACACTATACGCAGTCCATCTTTGCCTTGTCTTGCCGTTGGTAACCAACAAAGACCAAACTACCTACCGATGGAGGTAAATCTTTTGTCTTTCGTGTGAAGTGGACGGACGCGTCCTTGGTTTGTCTCAGGTTTGCAAAATTGTCGAAGGTCAGCGCTACTCGAAGAGACTGAACGAACGGCAGATCAATAACCTTTTGAAGGTCACATGCCAGCGTCCCAAGGACCGTGAGAACGATATTCTTCAGGTATGCACGTCTTCTAGTTGGGGAAGTCTTATTTGATGCTGTTGTTGCAGACTGTCCGCCACAACGCTTATCACGACGATCCTTATGCGCAAGAATTTGGCATCCGCATCAGCGATAAGCTAGCTTCGGTGGAAGCCCGGATACTACCGGCACCACGGGTATGTCTTCCGAAGATCGTTAATTCAAGCTCTAACGTTTTCTGACAGTTGAAGTATCATGATACTGGACGGGAGAAAGACTGCCTTCCTCAAGTTGGGCAGTGGAATATGATGAACAAGGTTTTTGTGTCATATTCTGTGAAATCTATATTCTAACACTTTCTTTTAGAAAATGGTGAACGGAGGAAGTGTCAACTATTGGGCGTGCATAAACTTCTCTCGGGGAGTCCAGGATTCCATTGCACACGATTTCTGTGCTGAGTTAGCTCTCATGTGTCAGATTTCTGGCATGGTACTTATATTCACCTGATAGTCTCAGTCTGAAAACTTGCTTTTTTTATCAGGCGTTTACTCCGGAGCCCATTGTTCCCGTGCAACCTGCAAGGCCAGATCAAGTGGAGCGTGCGCTGAAAATGCTTTGTGGGGAAGTTCAATCAAAAGCTAAAGGGAAAGAGTTGGAATTACTCATTGCAATCTTACCAGATAGCAATGGTGCTTTGTATGGTGGGTGGTTGAAGTTCGTACAGTCGTTTGTGAACAGCCCGAGCTTTTTCTGCAGGGGATCTGAAGAGAATATGTGAAACGGATCTTGGGCTGATATCGCAGTGTTGCTTAACTAAGCACGTCTATAAAATGACCAAGCAATATCTGGCTAACGTTGCTCTGAAAATCAACGTCAAGGTATGCTTTGTGAACGCGTGAGGTTTTGAAGAGTGAAACATTTCGAGTGTTGCAGGTTGGTGGGAGAAACACAGTTCTTGTAGATGCGCTTTCGAGGAGAATACCGCTTGTCAGCGACATTCCGACGATCATATTTGGTGCGGATGTCACTCATCCTCACCCTGGAGAGGATTCGAGTCCATCGATAGCTGCGGTATGCTGCTTTTCCGCTACAGTCGTGAAACTCAATTGCTGTTATAGGTTGTTGCATCGCAAGATTGGCCCGAGGTGACGAAGTATGCGGGATTAGTTTGTGCTCAAGCACATCGTCAAGAACTGATACAAGATCTCTACAAGACCTGGACAGACCCACAAAGCAAAACTATAATGCACGGTGGAATGATCAGGTACGAAGTTTATTTTGCGTACAAGGACTTCTTAAAAATGTGGTGTACAGGGAGCTGTTGCTAGCCTTCCACAAAGCGACGGGAAGAAAGCCGCTGAGGATCATTTTTTACAGGCAAGTAACCGCATTTGAACGACATTATTTACATTGAATTTTCATTGCCACAGAGATGGAGTGAGCGAAGGCCAGTTTTATCAGGTTCTATTACATGAGCTTGATTCTATCAGAAAGGTAAAATTCACGTCTTCTCTCCGTTGCAGTTAACTAATATGTTTCTACTCTAGGCGTGTGCATCTTTGGAAGGAAACTATCAACCTCCGGTGACTTTCGTAGTGGTCCAAAAGCGACATCACACACGGTTGTTTGCAAACAATCACAATGATAGGGAGTCGAGAGACAAGAGCGGCAACATCCTTCCAGGTTTGTAGGAAAGTTTGTTCAATGTGCTTCACAACTAAAACGCTTTTGCTAGGTACTGTGGTGGATACGAAGATCTGTCATCCCACGGAATTTGATTTCTACCTCTGCAGTCACGCTGGAATACAGGTACGAAGGCACAGCGTTAACCTGATTGAGGCTGATGGTCGTGACTGCGACCCTACAGGGAACTAGTCGGCCGGCACATTATCATGTGCTTTGGGATGAAAACACTTTCACGGCTGATGGTTTGCAGTCATTAACGAACAACCTATGCTACACGTAAGTGCAAGGACAGTCTTGTCTTGAGGCTCACTTCAAACTCTTTTTGGATGTGTACTGTTTTGCAGATACGCGCGCTGCACGAGATCTGTGTCAATAGGTGAGTAAGAACTGTCTTTCCTATTGCTTGGATGCTAAGACTTCGTTTTCTCTCCTCTTTTTTATTCTTGTGTTCCAGTGCCTCCAGCATACTACGCCCACTTGGCTGCATTCAGAGCAAGGTTTTATATGGAGCCAGAGACATCGGACAGCGGATCTCTGACTAGTGGAGCCGGACCTGGGAAGAGTACCACGACTGGCAGCTCGGGATCACGCAGCGGACGCACTGGTGTCCGGCCACTGCCGCCAGTCAAGGATAACGTGAAAAGCGTTATGTTCTACTGCTGATATCATTGTCGAGGTCGCTTTGTTTTTCTTTTTTCATACTTTTCCTTTAGTGCTACTACCTTCGTCCTCGATAGGGACGTGTGTGATTTTGTTTTGCAATGCAGATGTTTAATTCTCAACAATCATCGGTTTTGAATCTCTTGAGTGACTGATCTAAGCCTGGACAGCGTCCGCCAGGAGAGAAGTGTATCCTATCTTCTCGTCTAGTACTAAGTTTGGGTGCTGATTAAAGCGTTCCGGAATGGTGGTGCTCGACTCGTCCGACAACGTTCTCTGGACGTAGTAGAGCATGTAAGCTTGCGTTGCTCTCACCACGCTTTCGCCAACCCTTGTTATCCAGGCGTCGTCGCACTTGTACCACTCGCCCCCCAGGCGGAGATAGGCAACGTAGTGGCCACCGTCGAGCTTGCCAGAGTGACTGACTACTGCAAAAAGCTCAAACTCGGACGAGGGACTCGTACTACCGCTATCGTTGTCACCGCCAAGCTCTCCTTTTCCTTCTACAAAAATGAGCCGGTTGCCGTGCCTGAGCCTCGCTATCGACGAGGAGAGGTAGCAAGCCATGTCCAGCGACAGTGGGAACTGCACGTATGTGTCCACCTTGCGGTAGTTCTTGGCCGAGTGCTCGAATCTCTTGACGTGGAAGCTCAGCACCACCGGTAGCTTTCTCACTGACATTTGTTTCACGGCCTCCTGTCTAGACTGACACGACTCGCAGAAGAACCTCTCGCTGCTGCTCAGCCTCTCCGGCCTGGTAAAGCGGTCCAGGCAGCCCAGCAGCGTGGACGAGCTCGCGTATATCTGCTTCTCCAGCGCCGTCGACTCCAGATCCAGAGAAATGTCCACGCAGGGATCGTTCTTGGTAGACGTGAAGCCGCATGCCGTGCAAGTTACGTCCGATCGCAGCAAGCCGAAGAAGACCCGATGGACAATGCAGCGGCACTCGGCGTCGTTCCCCCTGTGCGTAAGAATCAATCAAAGGTGAGTTGAGTTTCTATCTTTGTTTATCGCAAAGCTTTGCTTACTTGCGAAGTTCAGGCTGCTGCGAGTTGGCGTGGATGCCTTCCACTGCCGAGATAAAGAAATCGTGCGCGTCCTGCTGCTCGTAGCCTGCCAGATTAGCAGCGTGTTGCCACCAGCTGTTCAAGAAAGAAAAAAGAAAGAGGTACTTTTCATGAGAGGGGAAAGAAAAAGAAGAAAAGAGCTCTTTCACTCGCCTGTAGAGGAACTGTGCAGGGCTGTATGGCGTCCGGTCCCCGGAGAAAGCTGCCGCGAACATGTCGTCCATGTCGCATCCAAGGCAGACTTTGCTCTGGCAGGCAGCCTTGTTGTGGCGGTGACCGAGAAAGTAGCTCCGGAGAGGCGGCGTGTGGAGCAGGGCCTGGAGCACCGAGTTCATGAAGCAAGTGCTGCCCATATTGGTGAGGCCCCGGAGTCCGAGAGGAGCGGCGCCGCGCTCGAGCACAAGCGGGTCCTTGGAGCTCGGCTCCCACGGCTTGTACTCGGCCCCTCGGTTCCTCTTCCGGCTATACACGTTGAGAGGAGGAGCCGTCCTCCCGTTGGAGAAAGAGGTACACTTTGCCAGAGAACTAGCACCTTTACCACCATCGATTCTATCTCCGCCACCACCGCCAGCGTTTCCATTCGTCCTCCCGTTCGAGAAAGAGGTATGCTTTGCCAGAAGGCTGGCACCATTTCCACTATCTCCGCCACCACCATCACCACCACCGCCAGCGTTTCCACTCCCGCTACTTACGACGCTGTGCTTCTTTCCAGCCTGAGCGCACACGACCACCCAGTCGAAGTCGGCGTCGTAGACTTGATCGTTGCAAATGCAGCAAAAGAGCTCGGCGCGGTCAAGATCGATGGCGAGCTCGTGGCCCGGGAGCTCCAGCGCGTGAGATCGAGCGTGGCTGGAGCTGGAAGAGTAGCAGCTGATGGTGAAACAGACGAGGCAAGCGTAGAGGCGGCCGTGGGACTTGGCACAGGACGCGCACCTGGGGACTGGATCCTCCTCGCAGCTCAAAGTGCGCACGCTGGGCCGCCCCGGTGGGAGGACGACGATGCATCGCTGGAGCACGCGGAAGCCCCGGGTGCTGTGCTTGGATTTGTAGTCCACCAGGTGCTCGCAGGGGCGATAGGATGGCGACGACGATTTAGTCGCCATGGCACACCATCGAGAAAGTTCTCGCGAGGAGCCCTAAAAGTAAACTTACAAGGACTGGTATTGCAAGAAGCACGACTTGTCTCCAATCTCCAGCAGCCTCCCGGCCGCGCGATTGCCACGCTCCACGTCGCCGTAGCTCCTACACGCGCCCAGCAGGCTCGCCCACACAATCTCGTCCGGCGCAAAGGGCATGTTTTGGACGAGCTCCTCGGCGTCGGCGAGCCTGCCCGCCCGGCAGAGGGCGTCGGCCATGCAGCAGAAGTGGTCCTTGGATGCAGCGATGCCGAAGTCCGGGGACATGGAGCGGAAATGTCTCAGCGCGGTGTCTAGCATCCCCGCGTGCCCGAATCCGAGCAAAATACCCACAAAGGTGATTGCATTCGCGAGGAAGCCCTCGAGACTCATTGTGGAAAAGAGTTCTGCCGCGTGGGAAATATGCCCCGAGCGGGCATTTGCTGAAAGGAAAGCATTCCATGAGGCGACGTCGTGGTCTATCATTTTTGTAAACACGGCTCTGGCTCTTTTGAGATGCCCGAGGTGGGCATACGCTGCTAAAACAGCGCTGCAGGAAAGAAGCTCGACCACTGGCATGAGGTCGAGCATTTGCTGGGCTTGTGCCAGATGCCCGCTCTGGGCAAAGTTTACAACCATTGCTCTCCACGACAACAGTGTTCGCGCGGGCATGATATTGAAAAGCTGCTGTGCGTCGCCGATTCTCCCAGTTTCCCCGTAAGTGATTACCATGTAGCTGCAAGAGATTGCGTCGTGCTTTGGCATGAGCTCGAACGTCGTGCAAGCTTCGGACGAATGCCCAGTTTCGGCAAATGCCGCTAAGAGTGCGTTCCACGAAAGCACGTCCCTCTCAGGCATGCTATCAAACGCGATCTTGGCTTCTACCATCAGACCTTGATCCACAAAAAGTTTTGTCATCGCATTCCAAGAAATTATATCCCGCTCGGGCATCAACTCAAACAGCGCCCGCGCCTCTTGTATATGCCCATTCTGGGCATATGCTTGGATCATTGCCGTCACGGAGACGATCGTCCTCTCCAGCATCAAATCGAATAATTGTTTGGTCTTTTCAATTTCACCGCAAGCCGCAAGTGCCACAGCCACTGCTGTGGAGCACACTGCTCCTAGCTGGGGAATGCGATCTAGTACCGCCCAAGAACGCTCCACGTGCCCTTTCCCGGCGTACATCGATGCTAATGCGTTCCACGCGACGACGCTTCGCTCCGGCATAGTGTCAAAGATCGTCTTTGCCTCTTCGTCTCGAGAGTTCTCTGCAAATGCCTGAAATACTGCGGTGAAAGAGACCACATTCCAACTCGGCATAGCCTCAAACACGGCCATTCCAGCGTCCAGATGCCTGTTTCGGGCATATCCCAAGATCATGGTCGTGTGAGAAATGATGTTCCTCTCCGGCATCTCAAGGAATGTTCGCTCCATCTCTTGCGTCATTCCGCCCCTGCAAAATGTAATGAGCATTGCGTTCCATGTATCGACACTTTGCTGGCTCATCTTGTCGAAAGTACGCTTTGCAAGCTCAAGATGCCCTGTTTTGGCATTTGCGGATAACAAAGATGTCCACGTGATGACATTTCGATCTTTAATTGCCGAGAAACAGTTCCATGCTTGCACAATATTACCCCTCTGTGCGTGCCAGGTAAGCAGTGCATTCGATGCTGAAGTGCAATGCATTTGATTCTCATGGCCTTCTCTCTCGTACACGCTCCAGAAGCATATGCCAGAAAATTTGCTAGATGGCAGCAACTAGCTGCTCAAGATTGCGTGCTGCTTTGAGGAGAAGATCTACATAATAGCCTTGGATCAGATCAGGCAAGTTTCTCCTCACTCACTCTTTTTGACTGAATCCATGGCTCGATCTTGCAAGATTATCTCCAAGGATATCCGTGAAGATGCTCTCGTCGTCCTAGAACAATGGCATGGGCTTTCAGTATGTTTCTGTCTTTTTTTATCTCGTTTTAAATTTAATGAAAAAGCTTTTAAACTCCAGTTATATTTATAGGGAAAACATTAAATTTTATATATAAATTTTATTGTATTTTAGTATTATGGGAAAAAGTCTCTATCCCAAGTGATTTTAATACACATTAGTGGAGATAAAGAGAACTTTTGATTATCCCTAACAAGTATTTAGATTTATACTTTTTATTTAGATTGTGTTGGTCGAATCTCTCTTATTTCTATAACTTTTTCATTTCTTTCTCTTTTAATTTTTTTTTTATATTCATCTTCATAGCAGATTAATATATTCATCTTTTGATTTTAGAGCAACAATTGGTGCAATTACTTAATGCTATATGGATGCAATTAATAAAATAGACTCAATTAATGGTAGCATTTATAGCATATGGTATAGCTCCTCTTGCTCTTGTTATCAATTTTGGATTTATTTTATAGGAATCTTAGGGATGTTGTGTATTATTAGTTCAATTACTTTATAATGATTGCCACATGTCATTTTTGGGATGATGCTCAATATCTGTATAAATTCTTTACATATTTCCAAGAGTGGTACAATGGTTTTCATGTAGCCTCTCATGTGAATTGAAGCCTTCTCCTAAACATCTTTAAGTGCATATTTGGATATGTTGATGATGATGATGCCTTCCAACAACCATTTTTGTCTTTGGTTGCTTAAGTCAATTATGCAATTTAATATTCACATTTTAAAAACTTTTACTTCTTGCTAAGCCAAATATGTTAAAATGGATTAAAGTAGGTATGTTATATCTAACACTTCGTCAAGGTCTTGTGTATATACACTTGCCCCAACCACTCTTTTCATGATACTCTTTCACTAACACAACATTATAAAACATCACCTCTCCCACTTATAATTGATGTCATCCTTGGTTTTGACATTGAAATTATCACTAACCCCATGCTTGTTTTTGGAATACCATTAAGGGAGTTCATTCAATGTTTACT